CTAGAACCACTAAAGGTGTTTGCTAGAATTTTGACGTCCAACATTACACAGACCTACAGACCAATCTTTGGGTAATTGACATATTCATTATTCCCTGAGTAATATTTTCATACACCTGATTTTGGGAATCATTATCTTAGATTTCATATTTTGCATTCACACTTCCTAACATATTCTTCTCGAATGGCAATTTTCTTTCTTTCTTTTTTCTTTTTTTAAAGATTTTATTTATTTATTTGTCAGAGAGAGAGAGGGCGAGTGAGCACAAGCAGGAGGAAGAAGCCGGCTCCCTGCTGAGCAAGGAGCCTGATCCCAGGACCCTGGGATCTCAACCTGAGCTGAATGAAGGCAGATGATTAACTGAGCCACCAAGGTGTCAATATCTATTTTTTAAATTAGAATTTGTTTTGATTTCAAGTAAAGTCGATGTCAAAGAAAATATCCTGAAACATTGACCAGAATAAATAAACTATAAAATGTAAAAAAAATAAAAATTAGAAAACCTGTGGTTATCAAAACTAAGCACGCTCATAAAACGGCCAACACAACAGAGAAAAGAATACTACAGGGTTGTTTAACCTGGCCACAGAGATTTTAAGGGTATTCTTTTTACCCCGATAGATGAAAAACAGCAACAAAAGCGGGCTCATTCAGGAAAAAACAGAAAATATTCTATTTGGAAACTGGCAATAGTCCTTTCCAGAAAAAACATGTCAGTTTCATGAACCCCCAAGATAAAACAAACAGGAAAAAAGTCACACACACGATTCACTCAACAAAACGTCCTCTGTTAACACAACCCGCAGTACAACCATCACTCACACCGCGAGGTAGTGGCAGTACAAAAAGACTGGCACGCATGTGCGCACCCACACATGCTCACGGTCACGCCCACTACAGAACACACACAGAAAATGGGTTTGCAATCTTATTACAGACAAGGGCAAGACCATTTTTTGTTGTTGTTTAGAAAATGCATAGAAACGCTCAGACATTTTAATAAAATTATTATAATAAAAAACTTGGAAAAATTAAATTATATATGAATGACTTACTTATGTACCTCTTTTTTTTTCTAGTACTCTCTGAGTGAAAGGATCTTGCATTACAAACGGAAGGGGAAAGGAGCAATTTCAAGTGGTATCTGGTCGCCAGTTGTAAAATTCCAGGGAAATACAGGATAATTTGATTATTCATAAATTTGGTATTTAAAAGATCAATTCTGAGAGTGGTTTCACTTGAAGTGGAAGCCTGAATACGGAGGCGTGAGAAGAGAGGGCGGAGAGAGTAGACCGTCTCTCAATAAACTCAGGATTTGTTGTTATTTTTGCCGCTTGGGGACTATGACATCACTGAAAATCTGAAATTACTCCCATTCCAGACCTCAGTGAACTCTCGCGATACTAGAGCCCAGTGGAGCGCGAAACGCCGTGGGAGGGGCTGGGGTGAGATCGACTGACTTCCGGCCAGGCCGTTGTCTGGGTGGCGCGGTCGAGTCATCGCTGGGCCTCGCCGCTTGGGTTTCCCATCTCTCCCCCCCGCCCCGGCGCGGGGGGTCGACCAGCCAAGTGGGGCGGGAGGCGACTCGGACGTTCCCCTCCGTTTCGCTCTGGCCAGCTCCCTGGCCTCCCGCGCTGGGATCTGGGGTCCTTGGGGCCCGCGAGGCCCGGTCTGAGGGGCCGGGGCCTACGTGGGCCCGCTGCTGGGCCCCATGAGGCATAGCCTGACGAAACTGCTGGCGGCCTCGGGCAGCGACTCCCCAACCCGTAGCGAGAGCCCGGCTCCAGCCGCGACCTGCTTGCTGTCCCCGGACCTGACCCGGGCGGCGGCGGCGGCGGCGGCGGCGGCGGCGGCGGCGGCGGCGGCAGCGGCAGCGGCGGCGGCAGAGGAGGAAGAGACGGCGGCGGCCGGATCTCCCGGCCGCAAACAGCCGCGCGGCGACGAGGGCGAGTTGGAGGCCGGGAGGGGGGGCCGCGGCGGCGTGGCCGTGCGCGCGCCCTCGCCCGAGGAGATGGAGGAGGAGGCGATCGCCAGCGTCCCCGGGGAGGAGACGGAGGACATGGACTTTCTGTCCGGGCTGGAACTGGCAGATCTGCTGGACCCCCGGCAACCGGACTGGCACCTGGAGCCCGGGCTCAGCTCGCCCGGGCCTCTCTCCTCGTCCGGCGGAGGCTCGGATAGCGGCGGCTTGTGGAGAGGGGACGACGACGACGAGGCCGCGGCTGCCGAGATGCAGCGCTTTTCTGACCTGCTGCAGAGGCTGTTAAACGGCATCGGAGGCTGCAGCAGCGGCAGTGACAGCGGCAGCGGCGAAAAGAGGCGGAGAAAGTCCCCAGGAGGAGGCGGCGGCGGCAGCGGCAACGACAACAACCAGGCGGCGACAAAGAGTCCCCGGAAGGCGGCAGCGGCTGCTGCCCGTCTTAATCGGCTGAAGAAGAAGGAGTACGTGATGGGGCTGGAAAGTCGAGTCCGGGGTCTGGCAGCCGAGAACCAGGAGCTGCGGGCCGAGAATCGGGAGCTGGGCAAGCGCGTGCAGGCACTGCAGGAGGAGAGTCGCTACCTACGGGCCGTCTTAGCCAACGAGACCGGACTGGCTCGCTTGCTGAGCCGGCTGAGCGGCGTGGGACTGCGGCTGACCACCTCGCTCTTCAGAGACTCGCCCGCCGGTGACCATGACTACGCTCTGCCCGTGGGAAAGCAGCAGCAGGACCTGCTGGAAGAGGACGACTCAGCGGGAGGAGTATGTCTTCATGTGGACAAGGATAAGGTGTCGGTGGAGTTCTGCTCGGCGTGCGCCCGGAAGGCGTCGTCTTCTCTTAAAATGTAGGGTCAAGTAATCTGCTCTTTATCCGCGTTTACCCCTTTCAACTCCCTTACACCATGTAAAACACCTTAGTGGGACATCTTCACTGGACACATTTCAGAGGAGGAAAAAGTAATATTGAATCTTTTAAGTGTTTAGCTAAAAGCATGAATGTGACACTGTAACCAACTCCTAATGATAACATGTGACTATTAAATCTCTCTGACAGTTTCTTTTTTAGGTGATTTCCTTCCTGCCAGGCTCCGTTGTAGGGGTTACAGAACAGTCGTTCCCGCCTCACAACCTGGTAAGGATCCATCTCTTCACGTAACGCTCATGCTCTGCTGCTTAGTCTACTTTAATGGGCAACATCTGAATTTGTGTGTGTGTGGGTTTTTTTTTTTTTCTTTTTTGGAACGTGGGAGGGGAAATCTAATTTGGGCCCTGTCCACCCTGGAAACAGACTTGTGCTGGTCAATAATGTATTTAAGATGCTTCTTCTGGTTGAAATAGCTGTTAATGTGTCCCCTTGTTCAGACTTGCGTGTACCTAGCTCTTCTGTCCCCAGTGTGGACATGGCCTTGGATGACATCGGTTCCAACTGTACACTGAAAGCTGCTAATAGAGATGCAGTTTGGAGACAGTGAAACAGGTGAAGTTGAATGGAAGTTCCGAGTTGTACAAGGTGCAAATTGGAATTCCAATTTTAGAGCAACTTTTTAGAGGTTGACAATAAGTATTTGGGGCTTGCACAAATGTGATAGTTATTTTGCTGGAGATGACAGAACTATCTTAAATATTTGGGTATGCCTTTTAGTTTTCAGTAGGAGATGTAGAAATACAATCTATTTAGAGTAAAAGATTTTAATATTTCACCATTAAAGAAGTTGGAAATTAACATGCATCTCTATGTTAATTGAAGGAGGAATAAGAATTGTTAATGAAATGTTTGAGGACCAGCACAGTGATTACCCTATCACTGACTATAAAAAATTGTTGAACACTTTTACTTTTGTTGTATTAAAATTTTAGGTTAAATTTATGTATGATTAGATATTGAAGGTTGTGAAATGTGAATGAAAACGTGTAAAGTGAGGCTTCACAAAGAATCTTACTCTCCTTATTTCAAAGGTTTTTGTCCTATTTAAAAATAATTTTTAAAATTGAGTGCTTCTGGCTACTTAAAGACAAAATTGACACTTTTTCCAAAGATGGGACATATTCTTCCCTTGAAGTACTGTATTATTCATTGTCGAATTGTATAGATTGAGTTACAGTGGCCTTCAGTGTAAGAGGCGTTAAGAAATTCTTTGTGAAACATCACTGTTTGATAAAGTATATACATATTTAGCATCCTTGTTTTTCTTTGTGCTAAAGTGGATACAGCTGTTGGGGCAGAAGAGACGGGACCAGCTGCTGGCCACATTTCCTGCTTTATTTTAAAAGGTAGTATAAGAAATGAGGAAAAAGAGGTAATATCAGGGCTTCTGCTGTCTTTTATTTTAAAATGTTCATAATTAAAAAGTATTTTCCAGCAGTCCAAAGATGTAAGTTATCTTACACATGTTTTATTTTGTTGTTACTTGGTTATAAAAATGGAATCCTTGTTCTTGCACAACTGTAAATGTTTTGTTGCTAGATAACACGATTTGAGACCAACTTGGTCTCTGGTTTCCAGTGCATTACAGCATATTTTGTAAAATCATCTACTGCACTTGAGCATGAATGGGTAGTAGCCAAATTCACAACCTGGAGTGATGAACCTGCTTATACCTAAGTGCAGGAGCAAGCCCCTCACAATGCAGCTGCATGGATTTTTAGTGCCTACTGAATTATATATATATTATATATATATATATAAACCAAAAGTAGTTGGAAAAATTATTTGAAATGACTAATTTGTGCTATCTCTATGGAATATGTTAAATGTAGCTTTTTGAAACAGAAGCCTTGAATTGAAATTAATACTTGAACATTTTGTATATATTTCTTTGTATATAATTTTGTGCAGTACCAATGACAAAAATATGGTGTCATAATAAAACCAGGTTTGTTGATCTTTCAGTTATGGGCTCAAAGAATTTATTCATCTCTAACATGACATTGGAAAATAATGGATGAAAATAGGAAAAATGATTGTTGTTAATGCTGACTGTGGGTCTTAAAAGGTTCTGGAAGCAGTAAGTGTGTTTTTCTAAAATACCATTCCCTTGGAATATTTTCTTCTAATGTCAGTGCTTTTCCTGCATTATTTGAAGTTCGGGGCTGGGGAGAAACAGTAGACAAAGCTTTCTGAATTGGGATGCTTTGAAAATTCCAAGTGTAGATTTTTAGGATGCCATTTTATAAATGGCAGTTTTTGGAAATACTTGATTAAGAACTTTTGAAAATGGAGATTAGTATCGCCTATTTTTAAAGCTGCTTTGTTAGGCTCCTTATGTTTTAACTGTCTTTTCTTAGTTTCCATTTCATTCTCTCTTTTTTTTTCTTTTCTAATTTTGGTGACTTAGTGATTTTGTCATTTTTTGCATCAACTTCATGGTCTTGTTTTTACATGGTATTGCATGTATTTAGGACCTGTCAGGGGCTTTAAATAAATTTGATCATATTTATGTGTAAGCACATTTTACTGTAAATGTTTGGGTTTCTGAATTTACAACAGATCTGTTTCAGTATGTAGTAAACAATATCTTAAAGTGTCCTATTCACTACTTGTTAATTAAAAAAAGTTATGATTAATATGAAACTGTTGTCTTACTATTTTTAGAAAATTGTGTTCTGAATGATTAGTAGTTGGATAGAGGAGATTTCTGGAATATAATATGGTTTGTTTTGAAATTTTAAGGTTTGGCTCTATTGTAGAGGTTGAAAACAGTATTTGAGGAACCTTTTTTTTTCTTCCCTAATTGCCTCTATGGCAAAATGATACAGAATTAGTGTAAAGAGGTAGCTTTTTGATATTTGTCTTCTGATGGTGACAGGAATTCATACATTAATTGAACTAACACATCATATTGACCGCCTATTTCTATCATATTGACTTACTGTTTCTGCACTTTCTTGACCAGTCCTAACTAAAAAGTCCACGTTTGTTAAAATGTAGTCACACCTCTGATATAATCCGACAAAAAGTGTTCGAAGTATTTTAAATATTTGTGCATTTTGTAATCACTAAATTAATCTCTCTCTCTTCTCTTTAAACAGCTTAGCAGTGTCTGCAAAAACGAATCTTTTCCTACAACCTGTTAACTGACTGGACTGATGGTAACAAAGTAATTGTGGGAGCCATGTCGGTCAAAAATTTGGCATCTGCTGAAAAAAATGAATGCCATTTTCAAGTTCCCAAATTACTTCTATACTGATTTCACTTTCCAGATATGGAGATATGAAAAGATTCTCTGGAATCCTTGAAAGACTTAATAGAAATATATGAGACTAAGTTAATTTTGGAACAAAATTATACTTTTTTTTTTTTTTTTGTCTTTCATGGGAGTGATGATCAGTTCTTTGCATAACTTTCAAAAATTGTAACCATTTGAGAAGAGAATTATAGTATTTCATCAAGGAATATTAGACTCATTACATAGTCAAGAACACATTCTATGGAATTACATTTAGTGGTGTAGTATTACATAAACAGGCCATCAGGGATCACAGAGCATATCATGAGTTTGTATTTATTTCCTGGAACTTGAGAGCCAATCTGAAGTATAGGCAGACCTTGCTGAGTAGAATATAGAAGTTAATGTAAAGTCCTTAACTATAAAGAGTAGTCTTTTTAACAGATGCATTGATTTGTCTTGTGTATCTTTGAAAAAATTATGATTAAATATGTGAGTAGTTAATTGCAATTCAGGGTAATAGGATGCTTGCATTCTGAGGTTTTGGCTTCTTGAGTTTTGAGTACTTGACCCTTTTTGACTATTTTGAGGTTTCTTATGAATGGTATCCTAGTTTTTAATGTTATATATTAAATGTCTCTAGTGTTATGTAAGGGCTTTAGTATTCTGGATGATGGGAGTGGTTTTTTTCCACATAATATGGTTGTTTTACTTAATTGAAACATTTTTCCAGTTTATTACAAGTGTGAAAAAACACTCAACTCTGGATTGTTTTATTTCATTTTTGATGGATTATGTTAATACATTCTTTCATCTGGTCTAGACTGAGTCATTTTATCTTACTGACTCATTGGGAAGTGTGCAGACCAGAGAGGTGGGAGGGGTAGGAGATCGGCCCAGGATGATTTATCATAACTATACAGTTTGGTTATTGTATGATATTAAACCCACTCTGTTTCTTGTAATCTAAATTTAGCCAGTATCTGTGATGTGAGGCAGCAAAGGGCATGCCCAGTGGCTTATACTTGACTGATGGATGCTCCCATGGTACAAACGCTCCAGCTGGTTGTAATTCCACAACCAAAGATTTGGCATGAATTCTAGTTGGTGACGATTAAGAACAGAGTGATTCACTGATAACGAGTAATTACCTTTAAAAATATGTGATCACCTGGTTCAGCATTTTGAAGTACTAGTTTAAGGTCTCACTAATTAGTAAGCTTTTTAAGCTAACTAATCTGATTCTTGAAAGTTGAATAGGTAGTAAAATACTTTCAAGTGTTTTTTCCCCCCACACTCATAAAAGTTTTGAGACCCTCCCAAATGTTTATATTTCTGTGTTTTACTGTGCTGCAGTTTTTTCTTCAGAAACCAGGTAGTTACCATCTAAGCTAGGGATCAAAACGGGGAGGTCTTCCATTAGAAACTTGTAGAATGTTTTGTGTGGCCAGCACAGTATTTTTCGCATATTTGAACTTGACTATCTCAGTCCTCTCTGGCAGTCACTTGTTACTGCCTTATAATACCAGACTGCTCTCAGCTCTGACCTAGACTACAAATGGTCATTTACTTTCAATTTTGAAATGCAGAAAAATTAAACCGGAGATAATTTAAATTCAGAAAGTAAATAACTGTCATTAGGAATATAGATCATGCAATATTAGGGAAAAACAGATATTTAAAAAAATATATAGGTTAATAGAAAGTTGCTTGTGAACCTGCCTTTGCCTTTTTCATTGCTTTGGTTACTGATAGGTTTTTTATTCCTTTTTACCTTTCCCTTATTTGTACATTCAAGATTTCTTAGAGCCATTTTCCCCACTTTTTAAAAGGAAACCAGTTTACAGTTGACTTCAATAATTTTTGTAGTTTTGTTGACCCAAAATAATTTTTGTTGAAAATTATTCTGCTTAATTTTTAATCTAATTTAAAAATGTAGTCTGTAATGGTGTTTTGAAAAATTGTGTAGTTGTGTTAATATGCATAGGTTTGATTTTTATTGGTGGCCCAAGTTTTCTTTACACTGCCTTTGAATTTTGCATCTTTGCTGTATACCCATGGAGGTCAATTTCCTAGACCTCTCTGGCTTTTAAGGTTCTTTTGTTTGGGGTTTACAAATTAATATCTGAAGTATAATATAATGAGTCCTCTTTCTTAAAGCCAGATAACTACACCAGGTAAATTGTAAAAGACGGATTTAAATAGTTTAGTATGACTGAACTATTAAAAACTGCCTTCCTGACTGAGGCAGTGTTCTTTTGGTCTTAGCTACAAATGACTGTTCCCTAAATTGTAACACAGATCACAGCAAGTTTACATGTATTTATCTGCCCCCAACCAAAAATTTTTGTAGACTTGTAGCAATAGATGTAAAATAATACGGTCTTCTGCTTACGTTGCCCATTTTTACTAATTGAAAAGATAATTTAAAAAATACGTGGTAGAGGACAGATTCTTGAAAGGAATTCTTCTTGGTTACAGAAACCATTGCAAACTCTTCTATTTATAGAAGGTATTATGCTAGAATGTGTCAGGATAAGAAAACAATTTGTACTGAATTACCAATTTAGTTATATCAGTGGCTTTTGAATTATCCCAAGTTGATAGCACCATTCTTTTTTTAAGGAGTCTAATTGAGTAATTTGGGTTTATTTTTGAAGTTAGGAGCTACTTCTAATTCATTTTCTTCTCTGCTGTGATAAGTAGAACTCTCCTTTAAATAAAAATGATAGAATGTAGATAGAAGTGTGTAATTTTGGGTCAGAGAGTATATTCATTATAGAAAGCAGAAAATTCAGAAAGAAATCAAAACAAAAAGAAAAATCACCCCTAATTCTGTAACCCAGAGAATATTCATGGCAAAATATAGATTCTTTTGCCTCATAATTGGGATCATTTCATATATAAGTTTGCTAGGGAATACATTTCAAGGCACTTGTTGAACATCAGTTTCGCTTTCTGAAAAATTTAAAACGTATTTTGTTAATTTCATTTGAATTTTAAAATCTTTAGCTGGACTGCTTTCTCTTTGGAGACCCTGAAGGCCTGTCTCACTCACGAGGCTGCCTTTTCTAGGTGACAAGCTAAATTCTCCTTTCATATAATTAAGTAGCATAAGATTATTTAACAAATATGTCACTATATCTGAAAGGGATAATTAAGATGCTTGTGAATATGATCTGGGATGGTACTTACTGTATTTGGTATGACTGGCTTATTTCATAAGAAAGTATTGGTCTAGATCTATATTGTCCAATACTGTAGCCATTAGCCACATGTGGCTAAAAAATTTAAATTAATTTTAAATTCATGTATCCAGTTGGGACTAGTTACATTTCAGATGTGCAGTAGCCACATATGGCTAGTAGCTAACATTGTCAATCATGTATAAAACATTTCCATCATTACACAAAGTTCTGTTGGACAATGCTGATTTAGATGCTGTCACGTAAGACTGGTTTGAAGAACTGAGATGAAAAGTTTTACGAAGGGGAACACAAAAGGTCACTTCAAAAATTTAAATGATCTGGGGGCGCCTGGGTGGCTCAGTCGTTAAGCATCTGCCTTCGGCTCAGGTCATGATCCCAGAGTCCTGGGATGGAGCCCTGCATCGGGCTCCATGCTCCGCGGGAGGCCTGCTTCTCCTTCTCCCACTCCCTCTGCTTGTGTTCCCTCTCTCGCTCTTTCTCTGTCAAATAAATAAAAATTTAAATGATATGTTTTAGGAAATGAGGAATATTAAACTAGGCTATTTTAGAAAACAAAACCAGGAACAATAGGAACAGTATAACTACCATTTAAGTGCTACCATTTATGTCAGGTGCTGTGTTAGTCAACTTCCATATATTATGTAATACCCTACTGAGTTAGGTTACTGATGAAGAAACTGAGAACCAGAGAAAAGAGGTTAACTTGCTTAACATCAAACTGAAAAGAAGAGGCCTAGGTATGTGATCCCAAAGAACTATCCCACACTAAACGGAAGCTTCAAAGGTAGAATTTGCCTCAATCTTCCAAGAATATAGCTTTCCAAAGACAAACAAGTAAGAGGACTCTAGAAGTAGGTAACTATATCATTGTATCACTGTATCAGTCAATATATGGGCTCTAGCTGAGACTATCATCTTTTAGACTGCTGGAATTGATTCCTCTGTGAGGAAGGTTGTTAAATATGTCCTAAATTTCTATGGATTAGTAATACCTATGGGAACAGTGAATTGGGAAAATGAAGTGAACATTTGCTGTAGTGAACTAATCCTCATCCCCACCTCCCATTTTCATTCCTGCTTGGATTCTTTATGAGGTCTTCAGTAAAAACTGCTGTATGGTTATTTTTCCGGTTACAGACTAAAATATGGTTTAATGTAAAGGAGTGGAGCAAGCAAAGTAGAAGAGAATATAGGGCAAACTAGAGAAGTTAAGCTTTTGTTTAAGGATTAAGTTTAAGGATTTTGTTTAAGTTAAGAATACTACCTTATTAGTATTCAGCCTTTGCTGCCCTGTGTAGCCTTATGTTATAGGTCCCAGAATTGTACCTCATATGATTAAAAGTCTACGTTTATTCATACACTAGACACTTACTCATACATTACAATTTTATTTTTGTGTACACATTTGTTTAACAGTCACTGAATTTCTAGGCCAGGTTCAGGTAACTGAAGGGCCTTTATAATTAGCTTATATTGTCTAGATCCAAGGTATGCTGCAAACATAGTCTGGAGCAAAATGGGAAATAACATCTTTCTAAAGACAGGCTTAGAAATTCTAGTCCAGTAAGTTAAGATGTTTCCTTTCTCTGGCAGTGGGGCTGACTCATATCTGTAAGAAAACATTGAGACAGTTCTTTAGAAAAGATAGTTGTATCAAATGGCAAACCTTTGTACAATATATATTAATCCTAGAAGTCTTAGGATAAAAGTAGTTTAGGTAAAGATTAAGTTAATTCAGTTATTCTCTTTGATGTCTATTGGTCCTTAAAACTGTACTTTTGTTTTCTTTTGTCCCTTTCTCCACTTTACCTCTGAAGGCCCATACAGCTTAGATTGCTTGATATAAGAGTTCTATCAGAAAATAACTGAATTGGGGTGCCTGAGTGGCTCAGTTGGTTAAGCGTCTGCCTTTGGCTCAGGTCATGATCCGAGGGTCCTGAGATTGAGCCCCACATCGGGTTCCCTGCTCAGTGGGTAGCCTGCTTCTCCCTCTCCCTCTGTCTCCCAGCTCATGCTCTTGCTCTCACTCTCTATCTCAAATAAATAAATAAAATCTTAAAGAAAGAAAATAACTGCATTATACTGGTTTATAGCCAACCATTTTGTGATGGAATTTTCCTTTAGTGGAATTGCTCAAACTCTTAAGACTGAGCATATAATTAGCTATCATGTTAGGCATAGTACTGTTTGTAGCTTTGTGGTTGGCATTCAGTACACAAATTAAGTAAAGAACCTGAACTACACATGCAAGAAATATGATGGGATCAATTTCTAGAACTGTTTTCAAATTCTTGAGAAGTAGTATTACTTATAAGAAAAAAAGTCTAACTTATTTTTTTATTTTTTTTGAAGATTTTATTTATTTGACAGAGAGAGACACAGTGAGAGAGGGAACACAAGCAGGGGGAGTGGGAGAAGGGAGAAGCAGGCTTCCCGCGGAGCAGGGAGCCCGATGTGGGGCTCGATCCCAGGACTCTGGGATCATGACCTGAGCCGAAGGCAGACGCTTAACCGACTGAGCCACCCAGGCGCCCCAAAGTCTTTTATATTAAAAAACTAACATTCCCTTAAAGGCAGAAAATGTATCTATTTTAATTTGTGCATTTTCTAGGTAATCATTTATATATTGAAGTTTTCCATTGATTATATGAGAAAACAATCTTACCTGGCTGCTAGGCCACCATTCACAGGTATAGCCAAGATAACAGGGTACAGAGCACCAAAAACGAGACCAACTAGTCCACCCCGTGTTATGGTACAGGTTTCACAATTCAAATCACCTAGGAAATAAATCAGTTCTGAAAATGAAGGTCATGATAGTCATGCAAACATGATTTTAAAGAACGCAACGTCTTAAAGGTGTCAGAGATACTCAACTTTTAGGCAGCAAATGCAAATCTATAAGGCATGTTAGAAGGTATAATTATAGTACAGATAACCTAAAATAGCCAGGAGTAACTGCTAGAGGATTTTTAATCTGTTTGTACTGCTTTTATCTTTCTGCACTTGTACTGGCAAACCTGAGCTAATACTCTTCTGTCGAAAACTTTCAACCCGTGGGAATTTTTAAAAAATAATTTGTACTTCGTCTTGTGTTTTTACATTATATAGTGACTATTTTTATAAAATTCTTTATTCATTTCCAAGTTAGTGTAAGCTATATTAAAAATAGAAAGCTAAGTTAATAACATGTTTTACTCTGTTCAACTGACTGGGTGGTAGGTTTCCCTAGATCATAAAAATTCTTTCTACACTGATCATGGGGATTCAAGCAAAATACTCATCCAGTTTAAACCAATTTGGAACAGCACTTAAGAGAATTTAAATGGACTGTCTTTTATCCCACCATCATCTGTAGTAATAATATTTTTATGTGAAATCAAATTTTTCATGATCTATAGGCATGCCCTGTTTCATTGTGCTGTACTTTACTGCCCTTCACAGATAACACATTTTTTTTTTTTAATTAAAGGTTTGTGGCAACGCTGTTTTGGTCAGGTCTGTAGGCACCATTTTCCCAGCAGCATTTGCCCACTTCATGTCTCTCTCACATTTTGGTAATTCTCATAATATTTCAAACTTTTTCATTATTATTTGTTACCGTGATCTGTTATCAGTGATTACCACACACTGGAAGCTCAAATGATGGTTAGCACTTTTTAGCAATTTTTTAAGGTATGTACATTGGTTTTTTTAGACATAATACTACTGCACCCTTTAAACAGGCTATAGCATATTGTAAACATAACTTTTATATGCACTGGGAAACCAAAAAATTCATTCACTTTATTGCAGTAGTCTGGCAAACCATATCTCCAACATATGCTTGTACTCAAAGCACTTGCACATACGGTAAACTATCAAAAGGAAATCAAGTCTCCATATATTTGATAATTCTTTTATATACATTTAGTGCTTTGAGAGATTTACTATGTAAATAGACTCTTCTTCCCATAAGTGTTTTCTCTCTTGAGGGACTTCTCTATAAGTTTTTTTTTAAAAACTAAGGCAGTCATCATTTAAAAAAATAAAGTTAGCAAATATTTCTTTAAGAACTGTGGGAAAGATAAGTTAGGTAAGGGAAAGTATTTAGAACTTCCATGTATATTGTATTTTACTTGTACAGAAGACTGCTAATATGAACTACCACTTTACATTATCCATGCACTGACTATGATATAGCATATAGTTAGTTACCTGATGTTAATATTTAAGGATTACCATAAGGTGCAAATATATACTAAAGCAAATTCTGGTGATAGTGAAATAGAATTTACCTGTATTCAAAGGTAAACTTACAAAACCTTTGTAAGATATGTGCGCAGTCAAAAATGGGATCACTGCCATTGGTAAGCCAGCGGCTATACGAGCCTGTGTCACATTTAGGATGCGTCGAAAAAGACTATTTGCTATTAGACCACAGAGACCAGCATTAAGTCCAACATATGTTGATCCATGTTCAAACAGATTCCTGAATGGTGACAAAAAAGAAAATTTGGGGAGGTGTACTATATTGTGTGAGCTGTCCAACAATTCTGGTGTATGTTATAGGACTTAACAGGACTTTAGGAATAACAGGATACAACATTTATCCCTTACAGCTCCATAAAACAACCTTTTAAAATAATTTACATATAGATGTTTATCCTAAAGGCTTTTGAATTTGGTCAACACTTAAGGATAGAGTGATACATTCAGATTTTGCTAAATGTATTTTGTGATTCTGCAAAAGATATTAGTATAGAAAATTTCCCCCAACTATAACAGGCAAGAGCTTCTGAAGAGTCTGATATGAATGTCTCTCCTTTGGGTGCCCACAATACCCAATAATTACCTCTCTAGCACAATAGATGATAAAGTGATACTATCTTACAATCACTGAGCACCTACTACATGCAGCAGACTTGATGCTGAAGTCACAAAAAATTATATTCTATCTTCAGTGTTTTCATAGTTTATTATTGGAGGATGAAAGACGTGAGCATGAGATACAACAAATCTACTAAAATGGTAATGGAAGTACAAGAGAGGCAGTTTAAAAACTTAGGGTACACAAGATATTATTTAAAAAGTGAGGAGAGCCTAGAGAACCTACCAATAGTAACAACAGAAAATACATGAATGTGAAAGACCTATGTATTTTTGTGGGCACTGAGGGAATGGGAAACTTGAGCGCTTCTTCTGAAATCCTTTTATCTTCATAACAATCTTGTGAAATATATATTATCTCCATTTTAGTTCCAGCAACCAAATGCTCAGTAGATAGTTTGCCCATATATATTTTTACATATTACTATATTAATATAATTATTTTGAATATATGAATTAAGTTATATACTGATGTGAAATATTAAACTATGTAAATAAAAAGGAGTGCTACTAGAATCTGAATAGCAAAGTTTATGGTCTCCCAAATTTTAATTTCCTATGGCTTAGAGTCACATTTTTTAGTTAATAATTCAGTAAGTACAAAATTGTTATTATCTAACAGCTCCTTTGCAAGTCAGTTTTCCAAAAAAATGCCTCTACTACTGGAAACTCATGAATGGCAAGACACACGTTTAAAACTAGACACACAAATGTGAAACACATGAACTATAAGATCATATTTAAGTGGCAATGAAATACATGGTACATAAAATTATTTTGTAGATCAGAAAGTAAGGTTTTTGATATTAAAGTTTCATATACCTAAGGACTTTTCAAGTAACTATTAAGCATATGAAATGATAATGCAAGAAGGGGTGAGGATTCAAGCTTAGGAGACCAAGGATAAGAAAATAGGAACAGAGGAAAATAGGGAATAAGGCAAAGGTAAGGAGACACTGTCATCTGCTCTGTTCAGGTGCCAGTGTTTGAGAGCAATTTATTACTTCCAAACTAAAGCTTACTTTGCTGTTCTAGCTTACTTGCCCACTGCTTCTCCATTCTAATTTGGTGAAAGTACCAGTGATACAGCCTGCTCTTTTCTCTTCAAAGCTGCCACCATCTACTCTATTCCTTATGTCAGTCTTTCTGGCGCTCTGCCTTACTGACCTGGAAACATGGACACACGCCTTTTTGTGCTTGAAAAGTTTTTCTGTTACCCACCTCAGGAAAATAACAAAAAGGATGTACAATGTGTGTGTGGTGGGGGAAGAGCTGTAGGATACAGCTTATGAAATCTCCCAAGTTCTTACTGCTGCCCTGGGTTTATAGGTTCTCTCTTGTTGACAGCGTAAGTGGCAGCAAGACTGGAATTTACTCAGGACAGTAAGATTGTAATTCCAAAATGTATTTCAAATCCTTCAAACCCTTACCATCACTACTTCACCAAGATTACCATGCCAGTTTTCCTACTATCTTCTTTTTTTTCCCTCTCCTACCTTAAATCTATTTCCCAAAAGCAACTGGAATGTTCTTTAGAAATGTTAGCTGGATCATAATCATTTGCTGTCCTTTAGCCTTATGCCTACTTCCCTGTACTTCACTAACACTGGTTCCTGAGATATGATCAACTCTGCTATCCTGTGGCCTAGGCATATGCCAACCCCTCTGCCTGAGATCCTGAAATATTATTCCTTCACCCCCTCCCTAGGCTGGCTCCTTTTTTTTTTTTAATCCTTTCTGGCCTCATAATTTCTATTTAAATGGAACCTAGTCAGAGAGGTCTTCGTGCTAAGGAAGTGCACTATAGTTCACTCAGTGTTGTCCTCAAAGATCAGTATGGTTCCATATAGCCTTTTTCTATTTAATGATACAGATCTTTTAGCCATGATCCCATTTCTCTGGCATTCCTTGTCTAGTTATGTGTGTTACACAGCACTCTCTTGGACTGTTAGACATAATAGAAATGCACTGACAAGACAATTTAAAACCATCTTAAAGGTCTGTTACTTAGATGAATGCATAAATGTTAAACTCTAAGCCAAATGGAAAAACTGAGAATGATCATATAATTAGATCCAAAGACATGAATTCTAACCTCAACTTCAAGCAAAATGGTTAATCTCTCTTGGTCTCAGGTTTTCTCAATAAGGCAAGAAAAAGAGCTCCGTTTCCTTCTGATAGTCTGTGTTTATATTCAAACCAAATAAATGTGAGATAATGAACCAATGATGAAAATCCACCTGGTAAAAAATATTTTTAAATTAAGAAGGGATCTTACCTTTCTGCTTCTGGGAGTTGATTAATTTTTCTGGTTATGATATTGAAAATTAAGTCTTCCTTGACAGTATCATTTGGTTCATGATTTTCCATCTTGAGCCTTAAAATATTTTTCAATAATAGATACCTATAGAAAAACAACAAAAAGACTTTTAAAAAGCTTTCTAAATATCATAAATATTTAATTTAAAAAATTAGTTATAGCTTGATTCATTATCTGAAAAATCAGTGCATACATACCATATCAAAAAATATTTTCTAAGTAAAATAGAAACCAGAACATGAAAAACAACCCATAAAGCTTCTAGGAAATACAGAATATCTTCATAACCCTTAAAAATATTTCTTAATTTGCAAATAGCACTGAACATAAAACTAAAATTAACTAATTAAAATTAAGAACTTGTGTTGATCAATAGATACTATAAAGAGAAGCCAGTGTGGGAGAAAATGTCTGCAATATAACTGACAAAGGAGCAGTTAGTACCGAGAAAATGTAAAAAGTGCACATCATTAAAAAAAACTCACAAAAGGTTTGAACAGGTATTTTCAGAGGGAAGCAAACAGCCAATAAACAAAATATGCTTAACCTCATAACCAGGGAAAAAATTAAAAACAGTGAGATATCCATATGTAGGTTAGCTAAATTAAAACCTGACAATTTCAGTTCCTGGCAAAAATGTGGGGTAACTGAAACTCTGGTGTGCTGCTGGTAGAAGTGTACATGGCACCCACTTTGGGTACAACCACTTTGGAAAAGAATCTGGTATTATTTGGTAGGTAGAAGAAACATATTAGCAATTTCACTTTTAAGTATACCCTAAAGTAGAAATAAGCAAAATTTCTCTGAAGGGCCACATAGTAAATATTTTAGGCTTTGCAGGTAACACAACGTCTTTGTCAAATAGGCCAGTAGTTTCTTGATCCCTGCACTAGTTAGAGTGAATGCAGAGTAGGGGGATGGTGAATGGTGAGTTTCAACCCAAAGATTTAGCTCATTAAACAAGATTTCAGGGTAGCAACGTTAAGAAAAGCTAAAGTTCAGAAATAACAGCAAAATACAACATGGTTTTATGAAATTAGATTTTCATGGTTATCTATTTGCTACAAGATTAATTTACAACACTGATTTACTGCTGGGTACCTGTTAGATACAAGAGGTCACTGGGAGCATGTTAAGTGAGATTTCATATCCTTAGACTTAGAAATTTACATGTAGGTTTCCTGGACTCAAACTTCTTGAGGGCCTTGGTTGCAGTGCCATGACAGACACAATCTCTGCCCTACAGGAGCTGTGAATGATTTTGTTGGAGGAGGGTGTGTGTGTGTAGAGATACATAAATTCAGTATACACAGAGAAAGTGTACGGTGTATATGTTGGAGGCGGGTGTGTGTGTGTGGAGACACATAAATTCAGTATATAAAAAGTGTACGGTGTATATGTCTGAAATGTTATTCCCTCCGAAAGTCCTGCCTAATGCTATCACTAGTTTTCTGTTCCATGCTCTGCATACTGGTGAGGTTCCGAGTTCTGTGAACTAGCTATTTTTAAAAATTTTTTATTGTTATGTTAATCACCATACATTACATCATTAGTTTTTGTGAACTAGCTATTTCTAAGGTGTAGCTATTAAAAGTCTCCCTTAATTCGGTAAAAGTTTGATACGGCAGCCTGCAGTAAGACGTTGTGTGTCTGTTATTAATAAATCCTAATCCAAGATAATGCCACCTTTAAATACTATAAACATTTCAAAAGGCTTTTGCATTAGCTACCTTACGTTAACTATGAGACAATGAGTCAAGTGGGGACTCTCAAATTAAGTTAGGCCAAGGTCACTCTGGATATTGGCAGTAAAACCTGGGTTAAATTCAAGCGCAGACGTTTATTTTTTTTCTTGGCTTAACTTAAATCTAAGATCTTTTTTTCTGGTGTGCAAAGTGAAAAGACGGTAGGTGCCGTCTCCCCTATCCCCCCTTACGACCCACTTCCAGGATCTCATTCCCACACTGCCGGTGAACAGCATGTCACCGCTCTGTGCTTCTCCAGATACACGGGCATTTACCTTTTTTTCCGGGATGCCAGTAACTTATGCTCTCCTCACAGCAGTCGGTGCCTCCACCCGGTCTCGGCGACCACGACGGGGTTCACTCCAACCTTTGCTCACCTACCCTGAGCGCAGCCATCTTTGGCTGGCACGTGACTCGAGTCAGGCAGGGGCGGGGGCGCGGCCGCTGATTCGGCTCCCAGGACGTAGGTTGCCTGCCGCCGCCACTTCCTGCGGAGGGGTTTCCAGCTGAGGGAAGTGCTGGGCTGCGGTTGAGCAGTTTCCGCGAGCGCGGAGGGTACTCTTCACATCCTACCCCTGCCTTCCAGACTGAGCCTGTGGAAATTTTGATTTCCTGCTCCTTTCATTGAAAACCTACCTTGGACGCATTATCTCAGTTCCTGGCCAATAGAGCCTACCTCATGTGTTGGCATACGGGGTATGTGGAAACTGCACAGCCCTAGGCATACGACGGGTGCTCGGTTAAAAAGAAGTCGAAAAGGAGCTGAGGTTTCTATGCTCCATCGGTTTTTTATTCTCCCTAGCATCTTAAGCTCTCTGTGCTATTTTATGATCTGGCTAATTGTCCCATCACAATCTGAGCTCCTCAAGAGTAAGCAAGAGATTTTTCTGAGGATCCCTTGTGCTCTGCTACGTACTGCTTATAAAAACAGGTTTGGGTGAATGTGGTGAAAGAAAAACTAGAGAGCGAGGGAGCTATTGGCTTCATAAGTCAGAACAATTGAGAAAGTTTTGGAACAACCTTCTGAAGACCTCTTTTCTCATCCCCACAGCTTCTTATCTGTAAAACAGGGCGGTGGGGTGGGGTGGGGATAACACTCTCCTTGATTATTGTGTAAAGTTGTGAGGATCCTAAAAGTGCTTATCAAGGTTGTTTTGGAAATCACTGAGCTTTATCAAAGAAAAAGTGGTATTCCGGGTAAAGGGGGAAATTTCCATTGGCGAGGTGAACAGAAGGGCACCCAAAACTCCTGTGGCTGCGAGGAATTTATCCAATGTCAAATCGTCGACTGTCAGTAAACCAGAAAATTAAAACAGATTCTCAGATTCGGAGGAAGAAAGTCAGCATATGCCCCAACTGGAAAGTTTCCGAGGTAAATGCAGGGACAGCTTGAGAAAACCAGCTTATTAAGATGCTAACTATAACGTGTCCATGCGCATGGGAATACTTTGTTTCCATTTCATAATCTTATTCCGATTTAATTTTTAATGGTTTGAAGCTTATTTTGAAATTTATAAATGTTCATTGTACAGTATATATAGCATGCCATTCTGGAGTAATAAAAGCAATATAGTATATTGAGATTTTATTAAAAAATTAGTTTTTCACAAGACAAGAACAAATGTCCATTTCATCTAAGTTCTCAAATTATTAGCTTAAATTTTTCACAATATTTCCTTATTAGCCTTTAAAACCTGTAGCATCTGTAGTGAGGTCACATCTCTCGATATCTGTCATTTGTATCTTCTCTTTTCTTTTGTCTGATCAGTTTGGCTGATGGTTTATTATTTGATTTTCTCAACCAGTTTTTTTTTTCATTGCTTTTTTTCTGTTATTTTCTGTCTTCAACTTGATTGTTTTTTGCTCTGATCTATATTGTTTTCTTTTTCTTTTTTTTTTTTTTTAAGATTTTATTTATTCATCTGAGACAGAGATAAGGAGAGAGAGAGAGAGAGCATGAGCAGGGAGAGAGGCAGAGGGGGAGGGAGAAGCAGGCTCCTCGCTGAGCCTGGAGCCGGATGTGGGGCTCCATCCCAGGAACCTGGGATCATGACCTGAGCCGAAGGCAGACGCTTAACCATCTGAGCCACCCAGGCGTCCCTATATTGTTTTCTTTTTCCTACCTGGGATTTAAGTTGCTCCTCTGTTTGTAATTTCTTAAGGAAGAAGCTGAGGTCATTTGATGTGGGATCTTTTTTCCCCCCAACATATGTGTTTAGTGTATGAATTTCCCTCCATCTACTGCTTTAACTGTGTCCCACAGATTTTGAAATGTTTATTATTTTGATTGGGTTCAAAACACTTTCTAATTTCTCTTTGCTTTTTTATTTGACCCATGAACTATTTAGAAGTGTGTTAGTTTTCTAATAGTTCCAGTTTTCTGGGTACCTTTCTGCTACAGATTTCTAATTCAATTCCATTGTGGTCACAGAATATAGTTTGTAATATTTGGATCCTTTAAAATTTATTGATATTTATAGCCCCGATTCTGGTCCATGTTGATAAATGCTCCATGTATGATTGAAAAGAATGTATATGCTGCTGTTGTGCCAAGTGTTCTAAAACATCATTTATCACAAGTTGGTTGATAGCATTGTTTAAGACTTTTTTGTCCTTTCTGAATTGCTACCAACATGTTCTATCAATTACTGAGAGGTTATTGAAATCTCCAATGATTATGGAAATTTTCCTATTTCTCTTTTCATTTCTAACAGCTCTTGCTTCATGTATTTGGAAGCTCCACATGAAATGATTAAACATTTAGGATAAACTGATCCCTCTATGATTATGAAATAACCTTATTTCTTGGTAATATCTTTTGCTTTGCAATTTACTTTTTCTAATATTAATATAACCACTACAATAGCTTTTTTTGATTAGTGTTAACATAACATAGCTTTTCCCATCCTTTACTTTTAACCTATTTATGTCTTTATATTTAATGCAGGCTTCTTTTTAAAAAAAAGATGTTATTTATTTGAGAGAGAGTGAGAGAGAGAGAGCAGAAGCAGAGGGAGAAGCAGACTTCCCGCTGAGCAGGGAGCCCAAGGACGCAAGGTTCAGTGCCAGGACCCTGACATCATGACTTGAGCCAAAGGCAGCTGCTGACTGAGCCACCGAGGTGCCTTAAAGCAGGCTTCTTATAGGCGGTATATATATAACTGGATTTTTAAAATCTAAATAGACAGTTCTGACTTTTAATGAAGTAGGTGTTTAGACCATTTAAACTTAATATGATTTTTATATCCCAGGCTTTAAAATTTATCATCTTGAAATCTATTTTCTGTTTCTCCCATCTGTTATACATTCCCTTTTTCCTTCTACTTTTTTTTTTTTTGGTTTGTTTTGACTAATTGAATTTTCTTATTCCATTTTATTCATTTTGCTGGTCTGTTAGCTACAGTTCTTTTTAATAATTGCAATGATTGCTTTAGCATGTATAATGTACATCTGTTTTAGTTTCCTCAGGCTACTGTAAGAAAATACCAGAAACTGGGTGGCTTACAACAACAAATTTATTTGCTCACTGTTTTGGAGGCAAGAAGCCTGAAATCAATGTATTGGTAGGATTGGTTTCTACTGGAGGTGTTGAAAGACAATTTGTTCCATGCTTCTCTCCTAGCTTCTGGTAGTTGCTGACAATCCTTGGTGGCTCTTCTTCTGTCTTAACATGGCATTTAACCCTGTGTCTTTGTGCCTTCACAGGGCCATTTTCCCTCTGTCTGTGTCTATACCCAAATTTCTGTAGTCTTATGAGGACAGCAGTTATTCATTAAGGGCTTGTCCTAATCCAATATATCTCATCTTAACTTGATCACATCTGCAAAAACCCTATTTCCAAATAAGGATACATTCACAGGTATGGAGGATTAGAACTTGCAAATATATTTTGGAGGGACCCAAAGATGCAGCAACATCTTTAACATCATAATCTATCTTCAAGTATTATTATACCATTTTATGTATGGTAAAAGAATATTACAACAGTATACTTTTCTTTCTTCTTGGTCTTTATGTTATTATCATACATTTACTTCTAAGTATGTTATAAACCACACAATACATAGTTACTATTTTTTATTTCAATAGTTATTTGTCTGGGAAAGAATTTTTAGAACTAAGAAAATTTGTATTTATCCACATATTTTTCACCTCTTGTACGCTTCATTCTTTTTATAGATAGATATTCCATCTTGTATCACTTTCTTTCTACCTAAGTATTCTCTAACATTTGTTAGAATGCAAATCTGGTAGTGAATTCTTTCATACTTTTCCAACTCTAAAAAGTATTAAGCCTTAGTTTTAAAATTTTGGTAAAAAACACATAACATTAAATTTACCATGTTAGGGACGCCTGGGTGGCTCAGTCGTTAAGCATCTGCATTTGGCTCAGGTCGTGATCCCAGGGTCCTGGGATCGAGCCCCACATTGGGCTCCCTGCTCGGCGGGAAGCCTGCTTCTCCCTCTGCCACTCCCCCTGCTTGTGTTCCCTCTCTCGCTGTGTCTCTCTCTTCAAATAAATTAAAAAAAAAAAAATTTACCATGTTAACCATTTTTAAATGACTGGTTCAGTAATATTAAGTATATTCATAGTGTTATGCAACAGATCTCTATAACTTTTCTTCTTGTAGCATTGAAAATCTTTATCCACTAAATACTAATTACTCCTCTCCAATCCCCCCAGCCTTTGGCAACCACCTTTCTACTTTCTGCTTCTATGGGCTTGGCTTCTTTAGACACTAGATATGAAGGAAATCATACATTATTTGTTCTTTTGTGACTGGCTTATTTTATTTAGCAAATGTCCATCCATTTTGTAGCATGTTACAGGATTTCCTGCTTTTTAAAGAATGTATAATATCCCAATATATGTATATATCACATTTTCTTTATCCGTTTATTCAATCATAAAGATTTGGATTGCTTCCATCACTCAGCTGTTGTGAGTAATGCTGCAATGAAAATGGGTGTGCAAATACCGTATCAAGTCTCTCCTTTGAATGCTATTGGATACATACCAGAAGTAAGATTGCTGGATCATGTGGTATTTCTATTTTTTTTTTTTTTTTGAGGAGTCTCCATACTGTTTTCCATGATGGCTGTACCATTTACCCTCCTACCAACAGGACATAAGGGTTCCAACTTCTCCTTTTCCTCACTAGTACTTATTATTTTCTGTTCTTTTGATAGTTGCCATCCTGATGAGTATGAGAGGATGTCTCCTAGTAATTTTGAAATGCACGTCCCTAATGATTAGTGATGTTGAGCATCTTTTTGTGTGCTTCTTGGCCATTTGTGTATATCCTGTAGAAAAATGTCTATTCAAGTCATTTGCCCACATTTTAATTGGATTTATTTGTTGTTGTTATTGAGTTGTACAAGTTCCTTATATATTCTGGATTAACCCCCTATCACATATATGATTTGCAAATATTTTCTCGCATTCCATAGGTTGCCTTTTTATTCTGTTAATTGTTTCATTGACATGTAGAAGATTTTAAGTTTGATGTGCTTCCATTTATCTGCTTTTATTTTGTTGCCTGTGAATTTGATGTCATAACCAAGAAATCATTGCCAAACACAGTGTACTGAAGTGTTTTTCTATGTCTACTTCTGGGAGTTGTGTAGTTTTTGGTCTTATATTAGGTCTTTAATCCATTTTGAGTTAGTTGTGGATATGGGGTATGGAAAAAAATCCAACTTTATTTATTTATTTATGTCCGTATGTGGATATCCAGTTTTCCAAACATCATTTGTTGAAGAGACCATCCATTTCCCATTATGTAGTTTTGGCACCCTTGTCAATAATCATTTGTGCATATATGCAAGGATTTATTTCTGAACTATCTATTATGTTCCATTGGTTGATATATCTATCTTTATGACAGTGCATCATCTTAATTACTGTTGCTTTGTACTATGTTTTGAGATCAAGAAGTATGAGGCCTCCAGCTTTGTTCTTCTTTTCCAAGAATGTTTTGGCTAGTCAGGGTACCTTGAGATTCCTATGAACCTTAAGAGTTTTTTTCTATTTCTATAAAAAATGCCATTGGGATTTTGATAGTGATTGCATAAAATCTGTAGATCAATTTGAGTTATATGGACATTTTAACAATACTGAGTTTTCCAATCCACAAGTACAGGACACACTCAGCAAGGACATGCAGGAGGGCCTGTAGGAGGGCCAATAGTGGTCTGACCCTTGACACTGATGTCAATTGAGTCTAAACATAGTAAGAGAGATTTGGTTTTACTAACCAAATTGAATATATTTGAACTATAATTTGAGGGATTTTAGTTATGCCTATTAGGTAATAGTTTTAATATATGGAATAATATATATTTGAGTAATAATTTAAAAAGTGCATTGTTTGCACTTTTAATAAGGAACTTACATACAAGGTTTGTCTTGGGTGGCCACAAGACAAGTAGATCTCTGCCCTCAACCACCAGAAACTTAATTGGTTCAATCATATATACTGTGCAGATGGTCTCAATAATACATTGCTCTCTCAAGGCTGTGTCATTGAAGAAAGCTCCCACTATGAGAATGGTGGACAGAATGTATATTCTAGGGACAGGGAAGGGGTAAGGAGCCTCTAATTGCCCAGGTCCAGCTTGCAGTTCAAACGGTGATCACATCTTCTTGATTACTTCCTTCAACAATTTCTCTCATTGTAAATCCCTTTGGATTTTTCCTAATTGGAGTTCCTTTAGCTTCTTGAATTTGTATGTCCATTCTTTTCTCAGATTTGGGAAGATTTTGGCAATTATTTTTTCAAATAGTTTCTTTTCATTCTGGGACTCATGTAATGCATATATGGTTCCATTTGATGATATTCCAAAAGTGCCTTAGGCTCGCTTCATTTTTCTTCATTCTTTTTTCTTTTTGCTCCTCTGCCACAATAATTTCAAAAGTCTTGTCTTTGAGTTCATTGATTTCTTTCTTTGGATTGATATTGAGTATCTTTAGTGAATTTTTCAATCCAGATATTATATTCCTAAGTTCCAGAATTTCTGTTTGGTTCTTCTTCATAGTTTCTATCTCTGTTGATATTCTCATTTTATTCATGTATTATTTTCTTGATTTCATTTCATCTATTGGTGCTCTCTTTTAATTCATTGAGTATCCTTATGACAATAATTTGGAACTCTTTTTCTGGTATATCTCTGTTTCTTTAGGGTTGAGTGGCTCAGTTGTTAAGCATCTGCCTTCAGCTCAGGTCATGATCCCAGGGTCCTGGGATTGGGCCCCGCATCGGGCTCCATGCTCTGTGGGAAGCCTGCTTCTCCCTTTCACACTCCCCCTGCTTGTGTTCCCTCTCTTGCTGTGTCTCTCTCTGTCAAATAAATAAAATCTTAAAAAAAAATAATTTGTTCTTTTAAATGTGCCATTTTTCTTGTTTCTTACTATGGGTTGTTATTTTTTGTTGGGATTTCAGCATTTGAAGAATCACTCCATGCTCCCAGGTTTTTCAATTTGCTCTTTTGTAGGGAAAACTTTCTCTACTCAGGCCAACTAGAGATTCTGGAGATTGCTTTAGCCTTTTTTGGGGATACGTCTTCTCCGTGCTTGAAGAACTTTGCCAATTTCTTCTCAAGAGCTCTTGCTGGTGTTGCTCTGGCATACTGTGTCCTCTTTGGTGCTGTGGTAGGCTGCAATATTGGAGTTTTACCTAGTGTTTCTGTGGTAATGAAAACTTTAGTGCATGTTTATGGCCTTTGTTCTCAGACATCCCTATCCTGGCACACCATTCCTGTCAGTATTTGGATTCAGGTATGAGAAAATGATTCCTTGGGCAGCCCCCTAAAAGTCAGAATGATGGACATAGGTTTCATTCCTTTCTCTCACCAGGGAGAAGGGAGTTGGGGTTTTTCTCCTAATTGTGCCACACTGTGTTGGAGTAACAGTTTCTGGATTTCTTATAAAGGTACTTGGACTGTATTTTGTTAAATCTCTGTCTTCATGGGAGGGGCAGGGTCCATGCCTTTCTATTTTCCCATCTTGCTGATGTCACCCTCCCTACTTAGCCTTAGTTTTTGAAAAATATTTCTGCTAGGTATAGGATTTTAGGTTGACTTTTTTTTTTTTTTTTTTAAGATTTTTTTTTTATTTATTTATTTGAGAGAGAGAGAATGAGAGACAGAGAGCACGAGAGGGAAGAGGGCAGAGGGGGAAGCAGACCCCCCGCTGAGCAGGGAGCCTGATGCGGGACTCGATCCTGGGACTCCAGGATCATGACCTGAGCCGAAGGCAGTCGCTTAACCAACCGAGCCACCCAGGCGCCCCTAGGTTGACTTTTTAAAAAGTAATCTCTACACCCAACATGGGGCTTGAACATACAACCCTGAGACCAAGAGTCTCATGCTCCACCAATTGACCCAGCCAGGTGCCCTAACTTTTTTTTTAATGTTAGTACTTATTTTTTTTTAAAGATTTTATTTATTTATTTGAGAGAGAGAGATCGTGAGTGCAAGCAGGGGGAGGGGCAGAGGGCAAGGGACAAGCAGACTTCCCGGTAAGCAGGGAGCCTGATGTGGGGCTTGATCCCAGGACCCTGAGATCATGACCTGAGCCAAAGTCAGACACTCAACTAACTGAGCCACCCAGGTACTCCTTAATGTTAGTACTTTAAAAGTTTTGCTCTACTGTTTTCTGGCTAGCAGTGTTACCAGTGAGAAGTCTGTTGTCATTCTTATTTCTGTGGGTGTTTCTCAGGCTCCTACAAAGACTTTCTTTTTCTTACTGGTTTTAAGCAATTTGATTATGATGTAGTGTGGGGATATTTTTTCTGGTATTTCTCTTGGTTGGAATTCACTGAGCTTCTTGAATCTGGGGTTTTTAAAAATTTCAGTTTTTCTGTGGTATAATTAACATATTAAATTATAATTTATTTAAAGTGTACACTGTGGTGACTTGATATATGTATATGTTGTAAGAGGATTTCCTTCCATCTATTTAATTGACACACCCATCATCTCACATAATTACCCTTTGTGTGTGTGAGAAAATTTAAGTTCTAATCACTTAGCAAATTTCAATTATATAGTACAGTATTATCAATTATAGTCTCTATGTTTCACATTAGATCATCAGATCTATTTATCTTATAGCTGCAAGTTTGTATCCTTTTACAAACTGCTCCCTATTTTCCCACCCTAGCCCCTCGCAACCACTTTTCTTTTTCTTTTTTTTAAGATTTTATTTATTTGAGAGCACACGCATGGGTGCACACACAAGAGAGTGCACGAGAGCATGAATGCACATGAGCAGAGGGAGGGGGAGAGGGAGAGGGAGAGGGAGAAGCAGACTCCCCCCTGAGTAGGGAGCCTCACATGGGGCTCAATCCCAGGACTCTGGGATCATGACCTGAGCTGAAGGCAGACGCTTAGCTGACTGAGCCACCCAGGTGCCCAGCAATTGCTTTTCTACTCTATGTTTTTATGAGTTTGACTTTTTTTTTTTAAGATTCCACTTATAAATGATATCAGGATACCATAAAGTATTTTTCTTTTTATGTCTTACTTCACTTAACATAATGCCCTTAAGTTCCACCCATGTTGTTGCATATAACAGGATTTCCTTCTTTCTCATGGCTGAAGAATATTACTATATATATGTATGTAGATACATATATATTATTTGTATAATATAAATTATATGTATTATTTATAATTATTCAGTTATAATTGTATGTATTATTCTATACAATATCATTTTTTAAGATTTATTTGTTTGTTTAGAGAGAGAGCATGAGCAGGGGGGAGGGGCAGAAGGAGAGGGAGAGAGAGAATCTCAAGCAGACTCCACACTGAGTATGGAGCCCGATGCAGGGTTCGATCTCATGACCCTGAGATCATGACCTGAGCTGAAATCAAGAGTGGGATGCTTAACAGACTGAGCCACCCAGGCATCCCCCCATACGATATTATACATTATTGTACATATAGATACAATGTATATAGACACAATAGAGTATATATCTTTCTCACATCTTTATTCATCCATTGATGGACATTAAAGTTTCCATATCTTGGCTCTTGTGAATAATGCTGCAATAAACATGGGAACATAGATCTCTTTAATATCATGTTTTTATTTGTTTGGATATATTCCCAGGAGTGGGATTGCTGGATCATATTGTAGTTCTATTTTTAATTTTTTGAGAAAACTCCATACTGTTTTCCATAGTGGCTGCACCAATTTACATTCCCACCAACACTGCACAAGGGTTCTCTTTTCTCTACATCCTCACCAACATTTTTTATCTCTTGTCTTTTTGATGGTAGCCATCCTAATAGGTATGAATTGCTATCTCATTGTGATTTGGGTTTGCATTTCCCTGATGTTAGTGTTGTTGAGCACGTTTTTGGGTACCTGCTGGCCATTTATGTTTTTTCTGGAAAAATGTTTATTAGGTTCCTTTGCCCATTTAAAAAATCATATTGTTTGCTTTTTGCTTTGAGTTGTATGAGTTCCTTATATACTTTGGATGTTAGCTTCTTATCAGATATATGGTTCTCCTATTCAGTAGGTTGCCTTTTCATTTTGTTGATAGTTTACTTTGTTGTGCAGAAACTTTTTAGTTTTATATGGTCCCATTTGTTTATTTTTGCTTTTGTTGCCTTTGCTTAAGGTGTCAAATAAAAGAAAAAAAAAATTGCCAAGACTGATGTCATGAAGTTTACCCCCTGTGTTTTCTTCTAAGGGTTTTAGGACTTTAGGTCTTAAATTTAAGTCTTTAATCCATTTGGATTGATTTTTTTATGTGGTGTGAGATAGGGGTCCAGTTTTATTCTTTTGCATGTGGATTTCCATGATCATATCATCAATTAGCCTGGCCTGTTTTCCTGGTTGTCTCTAAAATCTATGATTGTCCAAGTCACCTTCTTTGTTCTTAGTGGTTCCCAGCAGTTGAAGGTGTGCCAAAGTCCATCAGTGTCTCAAAAGATCTCAGCCAGCACCTAAATGCAGGCTGGTTGGCGGCTGGACCCCATAGGCAGGAGCTAGGAAAATATGTAGACTACTTCCAGAGAGAAAGTGGTAGTTTTGAGTTTTTGCCTATTTCCTCTGCACTGGCCTGGGGTATACAGCCACAGGAGGTGCTCTTGAGCTCATTAAGAACTTCTTTGTTTACTACAATCCTATGGACTACTGAATGCAAGTCCCATTGGCTCTCTGAGCAAGGCAATCCAGGTGCCCATATCTTGGGTGGCAACTGATAAAAGCAGAGAGAAAATCAATACAATACACTGCAAGCAATGCAATGTGATACAATACAATACAAAAGCGGGGAAAGGGGGAGAAATCACATAGTTAATGCAGTTGGGGAAAATGGAGGAGAAAAGGCAAGAGAGAAGGTAACTTCTCACAGTAGGGACCATATCTTAGTCATTGTTATATACCAAGCAGGGAAAACAGACAATGTAAACACATTTATTGAGCACCACCTATATGCCAGGTATGGTATGGTATTGTTCCATGTACTCTAATCTTTGTAATCTCACTGCAAAGTGGTTATTAGTATATTTTGAGGAAACAGAGTCAGAAAGGTTAGGTAACTTACCCAATGTGTGGTATACAATGTCTTTCATACACTAGGTCTTGAATCAATATTAGTTGAATAAATGACTACATATTTATTCATATGAGAGATACCTATTGAATTTTCTTCGCTGTGCTTCTTCTTTCTAATCTTTCCTAGAAAAATGCTAAAATCATTAACTGCAGCCAGGGAAAGGACTGTGATCATTGGTATGGAGTCCCAGCAACCCATAACAGTAGCAGCAGTAACACATGTAGACTTCTTGTGAGTTGGCCACTGTTTCAGTTTACATACATTAACTCATTTAATCCCAACGACACTATGAAGTCAGTAAAATCTTTCTTCTTTATTTTACAGATGAGGAAACGGAGGTGCAGAGAGGTGAAATAGCTTGTTAAAAAAGTCATCCCGTTGGTAGCAGTAAAGCCGAGATTTGAACCTGAGAGATGAGCCCAGGCCGTACTTAACACCTCTGACCTATCTTGTCTCTGGTACTTTGCTGCCTTTCACTTAGTGTCGTCTTTGGGTTTGAGCCCAGATCAAGGTTTCCCTAATTTGTTTCTCTGAGTTGTGGAGAGTGAATGAATAGGAAGGACAGGAGGTAGTGATCAGAAAATGGGATTTTAAAATTGAGAATGTAAAGAATTTGAACTTAATGACTAAGGCTATAGCAACATAGTCCAATAAAAATATGTGAATCATGTATATTTTAATGAGATACTTAAATTTTTTACATAATTCTTCAGAACCTTACACTTACAACACATCTTAAACTAGTCACATTTCAAATGCTCAGTAGCCACAAGTGGCCTAGTGACTGTTATATTGGATGGCACAGTTCTAGAGTATGACCATGGGAGTGAGTGGTTGGGTAGAGACACCAGGGTGTTAGAAAGATCACCTATGTGGGGGTGCCTGGGTGGCTCAGTTGGTTGAGCAACTGCCTTCGGCTCAGGTCATGATCCTGGAGTCCCAGGATCGAGTCCCACACCGGGCTCCCTGCTCAGTGGGGAGTCTGCTTCTCCCTCTGGTCCTCCCCCTCTCATGCTGTCTCCCATTCTCTCTCTCAGATAAATAAATAAAATCTTAAAAAAAAAAAAAAAAGAAAAAGAAAGATCACCTATGTGAATACTGGAATCACCAAGAATGTTACTCAGTCACTAATAAAAACATGTTAGACCTATATGTAATGAGTTGAAAATACCTCCAAGACACATAGTGAAGTGAAAATTAATTTTCAGTATGTATGGATAATATTATTTTAAAAAAATATGTTGTTATAAAAGAATACTGCAAGGAAAGAGGCATGCTAACTTAATAGTGGGTCCCTCTGGAGAATGGAGAAGAAATAGGATGTGGGAGTGAAGGGGGACTTTCAAATCTTGCTCTGTATATTTCTGGGTCATTTGAATATGTTACATTGAGATGGTATTCATGTATCATCTTTGTATAATTTTTTTAAAGAGTTAAAATATGAATACCATTGATCCAGTTATCAGTTTGACTTAGTTCCCCCCTAGTCACCTGCCTTTTCCTCAGTTTCAAGTATAATGAATTATTCTGAGAACTAGCTAGTTTTATTTTAATTTTTTTCATTAGCACTAGGGTATATCTCAGTTTGTTATCTATGATGTCATAAAGCACCTTGGTAAGACTTCCATTTTGCTTTGGGTTGCGTGGGGCCTCAGGTGACCAAATCTTATCTCAAGATATACATGGTTAAGACAAGGAGAATGAACTGTGGGGCTCCACTCTGTGCCTTATTCATCAGACAGTGCTCATTTCCTTAACTGAGATAAAGAAATGCTCTCGAAGACTTAAAGAAGTATGCTGTAATCTCTTTCCTTAAATTCTGAGCTTTTTGAGGGCAGGGACTGAATCTTTGGACGCCTGATATCTATATTAATGCACAGCATAATAGGCACCCAATAAAAGTTCCTTTAACAGCACATTTGTAAATGATAAGAGGCCAGAAAAGTATATAGAGTTAAGAGTGTAGGGTAGAGGAATGGGCTGTATGTTAACTTCTATGTGTTGCTTTCTTACAAACTTTCAACTGCTCCTTCCAAATATAGGTCAAATGTCACTTTTTCCCCTTAGTTTTCCCTTCTGCCTGAGTAGTTAACAGCCATATCCTCAATGTGCTCACAGAATTATTTGTGTACTTCTCAAACCTTCTCTCGCTATGTGTTCACATTTTAAATTTCTCTTTTTTTTTTTTTTTTAAAGATTTTATTTATTTATTTGACAGAGAAAGACACAGCGAGAGAGGGAACACAAGCAGGGGGAGTGGGAGAGGGAGAAGCAGGCTCCCCGCAGAGCAGGGAGCCTGATGCGGGACTCGATCCCAGGACCCTGGGATCATGACCTGAGCTGAAGGCAGTCGCTTAACCAACTGAGCCACCCAGGTGCCCTTTAAATTTCTCTTCTAATTGTGAGTTCCTTCTGGGTTAAGGACCATTCCTTATTACATGTTACATGGTACCTGAGATGTAAGGTGCTTAATAAATGTCTCATGAATGAATATATAAATGTATAGAGCAAACCCTGACGTCTCAAACCCACTTCCACACACAATGAAGAAAGATGAAACTTACATTTAAATACTGAATTACTGAATATTTATTGAGTACCTGCTGTATACCAGGCAAAAGGAACAGAAACAAACTGTCCAGAGTTACTTTTAACTGCTTCAGCAATGCCTGAGTCCTCATCATAAAAAAAACCCATTCTGCTGATTTAGTATCCATTCACTTTGATTAATCTTCATGTAGTTTTCTCAAGTGTACTTCCAAATCTTGCATAATGCTGTAGACCATTAAATATTCCAAATACCGTCTGAAGGACTAGAGGAATCATCATAGCTTTTATCTCTGTTTGACAAAGCAGCAGCCAGTAAAGTAAAACCCTTCCTTTTGGTGGCAGTGGAACAGTATGATACCTAAAAAGGAAAAATAATTAAGAACTTCTTCTGGATGTATTTTCTATGAAAAGTTCATTGATTTCCCCCAAATGGATAATTTCTATTCTACGGTCTTTCATGTAGATAGCAAAAAGGTTTAAAGCTAGCTATTTGAAGTACCAAACTACATTCTAATTAAAATGTGTCATTGGCAGCTAAAGAGTAAGAAACGTTTATGAACATTTAAAAAAACAAACAAAAAAATGGAGGAAGGAAGGAAGAAAAGGAACAAACAGACGGACTTACTTGACTGCCAGGCGTCCATTTTTAGAAAAAGCCAAACCACAGGGATATAAAACGCCACATACTATGCCAATCAGTGAACTTCTCAGAACACAATTTTCCTGGCTTATACTGCCTGGAAAACAAAAGCAAATTTGGTTTCCTTTTAAAACTCAGGATAAGAACTACTAAGACAGTCTTGTGTCCTCACAGAGTAGTTATCTGTACTGTCCTCAATCATAGTGAAACAATAGAAAGAATGTTAGAAATTTAGTCTAAGGCACATGATAAACTAAATGCACCATGTTTGAAAAATACTTTTATTATACTTAACATAAGTAGAGTTATCTCTTATATATATATATATATATATATCTTATAATTGTTGCAGAAAGCAATTTCATAATGAAAAATATTAAACTATTAGACCCAGACATCTGGATTCTAGGTTAACACATTTTTATTGTCTGTGTCAGGCATGTATTAGTGATATAATGTTGCATAGAAGAGACCCAATCTCTAACCTTTAGGTGAGTCCACCAGGAAACAATAAGACAAATATTTATTTAAATAAATAATTTTTTTGGGTGCCTGTGTGGCTCAGTCGTTAAGCGTCTGCCTTCGGCTCGGGTCATGATCCCAGAGTCCTGGGATCGAGCCCTGCATTGGGTTCCCTGCTCTGCCGGAGGCCTGCTTCTCCCTCTCCCACTCCCCCTGCTTGTGTTCCCTCTCTCGCTGTGTCTCTCTCTGTCAAATAAATAAATAAAATCTTAAAAAAAATAAATTTTTAAGTGTGCACAATGCTTTGAAGGTAAAATGAATAGAGAATGTATCTAGAAACCTAACCTACACTGAGGGAATCAGAGAAGGTTTCCCTGGGAAAGAGATATTTAAGACCTGATAAATAGGATTTAGAGGTTCCATCAATTACTAGTTATGAAACTTAAGCTAAGGGGAGGAGGCAGGAAGTAACATTAGAAGCCCACAGTAAGCCAGATATCTCATTAGGCATTTAACATATAGTATTTTAATCATCACAACAGTACTAGTAGTCCTAATTTACAGATTAGACAACTGAGCTCAGATATTAAATGACTTGCCCATTGTCACAAAACTTAAGTGGTAGGAGGCAGAATCTGAAATCGTGTGTAGTATGCCAAAGCCTGCTTTTTCCCCAGTATATTATGTTGTTTCTTAGCATACTTGAACATGTCTTAGCTTTGGCTGTGTGTCTGTAAGGAGGACACAATACTACTAGCCCTGCCTAATCAGGAGGACTGTTGTGGGGATGAAATAGGACAATATATGTGAAGGTACTTTTTAAGTGGCAAAGCAATATACAAGTGTTAGTGATCATTATCAACAGTAGTAACAGGATATGTTAAGGTGTAATTTTACTTAAACACATTATACATTAATGAATTTAAATTTACCCAAATACAAAGCGTCCGTTACAAGGAGCTTGTAAGTGACTACAGTAGACAAAAATGGAAGTGTAGTCAGTGATGCATATGTCTTCAAAGCATCATGTTTAACCTTGAAGCAGTGTCTGAAAATGAAGTTGGCCATTATTCCAGAGAAACTAGCTGCTGTTCCAAAGAACACTGTGCCATATATATTTAACGTCCTAATAGGAAAAACAAAGAGAAAAATTACATTCAACGTAATATTCTCTTAATGGGTATATCCTTTCCTGGGTATTCATTTATTATTACATATTTACTCAACATCAAATATTTCTGTGTGTTGAGGATGGGGCAGTGAATAAAGAAAAAAAAAATCCCACCTCTCATGGAACTTGCATTCTAATGAAAGGATAGAAGCCTCTTTCTGAAATCACCTAGACTGGTTCTAAACTCTTGTAAGAGATAAATTTTGGCCACAAATAAAAATGAATATGTTCTAATATAGCCAAATTTATGAGATATCTAAGAATACTGCTTTTGCTACTAAAAGGATTAATTTGCTTACGTCATATGAACAAAGTTATTTACATTTGGTTAGGCCCTCTAGCAAATAACTATTTCTTAATTAGTGCAGATATATTTCAGATAATTTGTCTAGGATATGCAAAGAGATTTGACAGATCTAGTTTTACTGATTCTGACTCATACCTAAATTCAGAAATATCTAAGGTCTAAGATTAACGTCCTTTTATTTTATTCTTGAGCTCTGTTAATCTAAGTTGAAATGGTAATATGAGACTATACGTACGTACATTATGGAATCTGAATTCCTTTTTGAATTCAGCACTGTGCTGAGTTAATCAATTCTAAACGGAATTTAATTACAATTGAACATCAATTAAATATAAGTAGCTCCCGAAATGGTGTTCTCCATTGCTTTTAATTTAAAAATGTTTATTGTACAAATAACATTTCAACAATAATTTTGGGCATTTTCTTTTTTAAGAAGCAAAAGAAATTATCCACAGTCCCAATATTCCAACAAACCACTATTTTCATCTATGTTTCCCTCCATTTTTTTCATAAACTTTCCTTATAGCCAACTCAATAAAGTTAATAGGATCTTCGATACTCAGAAACAATGGCAATACAGAAGATGTGCAAATAAAGTTATTGACTTTCAGTCTGGGTATGTCTCTTACTTTTCTTTTCTAAGATATTCAAATTTTTTTTCTATGATTTCGATGACCATTGGTCTTCTGAATTCTGCATCTCCTAGAGAAAGACTGGGCTGACCATGTGTGTATGTTGCCATTCTGATGTCCTGGAAAACACAAAATTTCATAACCATAATAGCTAATGATAAATGATAATGATAAATGATAAATAAATGATAATGATATATCTTATAAATTTTAGATTCAGATTAAAAACCACTTAGATCCTAGTAAAATGTCATCTGCTTTCACATACTTTGTCGATGACTCCATCAATATTTAGTAGCTCTTATTATCTGCTAGACAATAGCTTTTGAGAAATTGGTAGAATAATGATCATCTCTATTTTTATACCTTTATAGATGAGAAAAATGAGGTTCAGAAAGGTTGTCTTGCCTTAGGACCTAGTGTAGAAGGATAACTTACTGAGGTACTGAGTTTTTGTTTTTCTTACAGTTTTCCCCAAAGGTAGCCAGGTCCTTTGTAGTTCTTGCTCTAGCTCTTTCAGAGCTAGAAGGAAACAACACCTACCTGTTGACATCTGTCTCATGAAAGTGTAAGCTCATTTTGGAGATTATGTTGCGTTTCCTGGAGAAGGAGGAGAGCAGGGATTGCCTTGGAGAATAGTGAGAGAGAACATCAGAGAGAGGGACACTGTTCCAGGCTAGGAAGAAGTAATGCTCATGGATGGATACCTTGGATTATATAAATTACATATCCAGCTCCCTAGGAGCACCTGGAGCAGAAGCACAGCCTTTGCTGGAAACTATATGTAGTATACCAGGGAGCCTGGACCCATGGCACTGGGCTCCAGGTGGGAAGGTTTCTGTGTCCCAAGTGTGATGTATGAACAGACAGTTGCCAATGTCAAGGGACCATGAGGGTTTGTACAGTAGTATCTTAACAGAAAGTAAAAAACAGTGATAAACAAAAACAAAACTGGATCCTAAGAAAGGATCCTTTCTGAATGTTTTGCTTTGGGTAAGACTCTTGGGTCTCTGTGAAAAGTCTTAACAATAACATTTGTTGAATCTTTTGCCACACTGGCATTATAGGATTCCAGATTAGCCGATGAAGAGATTAAAAAAATTATGGTCCTTCACAATTTATATTGACCTCCATTTTGACATTTATAGTAAGGGCATAGACTAGATCTCAAATTTCAAGAGTCCTGGGCAAGAGAATTAAGAGTGGATTAAGCATAATGAACTCAGAAGATAATAAATCAGTGATTCTCAACTTTTAGTTTGCATAAGAATCACATGCGGGGTTTATTTGAAATGCAGTCTCTTGAGCTCCCTCCTGATATCTGGATTCAACAGGAGTAGGGTGAAGTCTAGAAATCTGCACTTTAATAGACCAAATGATTCTGACACTGGTAATCAGTGGACACATGCTTTAATTGTTGAACATCACTGTAATACTCATTTGCTGAGTAAGTGATATGTACCAATCTTAACCCTAACTAATGAAAGGCTAATTCATCCATGGCATCAACATTCTGAAGGTATGGGCTCCTTTGAACTTTCATATATTATTACACCATGAGTAATAATGGACAAGTTTCTAGCTCTGCATCATTGTAGAACTGGACTCAAGCCAGTACTATTTTTTTTTCTTTAAAATATCTGAGAGGACAGGGAAAAATTATAAATAGCAATTTCTTACAGACTAGATTTAATCTTCTGGCTATTTTGGACATCTAAATGGAAAATGGAAGATATCATAATATCTAAGGGAGATTCTATATCTAATCTATCTAATGTACTATGAAGGCAGAGACCAGTAACATGGTAATTTATAATATGCTTATTTAAAATAAATGTTTATTTTGCTGTCATCCAATTCATTTAAGTCCCTTACTCCCCACAAAGAAAACTCTCAGGCAATGCCTTGTACCAACCTTCTACCTTGTCTGCACTGTCATTATACAGGGAACCCAGACACCCAGTATTATGATTCTAAAACACTGAAACAGGACAAATACTTACTGAGTGCAAATATTTATTTAGCGCCTAGTCTTTGGAAGGCACTGTTATTAAAGCAGAGAAATAGACTAGTAATTTTTTGATAGACTTTTAACAAGGGCTGAAATGTAAAGACTTTTTGATAACCAACTTTTTTAATTTTTAATTTTTTCAAATTTTTATTTAAATTCTAGTTAGTTAACATATAGTCTCATACTGGTTTCAGTAGAATTTAGTGATTCATCACTTATATATAACACCCAGTGCTAAGAAGTGCCCTCCTTCATACTTATTACCTATTTAGCCCATCTCCCACCCACCTCCCTCCATCAGCTATAACCAGCATTTTATCTAAAAATTGACTAGTCCAAGGCCACTCAACTGGTCACCACGATTATCCCAGTAAGAGTGTATGTATTCAGGTTTATAGTCTGCAAAGCATTTTACAGTTTTGTACTGCTTTTATGTGTAAAATAATATTTACCTGACTTTTCAGAATTTTATTTAATACTCATCATTTACACAGCACCTGGTATTTGACAGACTCCAGGATAATTAAGATGCAGTTGTGTCCTCTGAAATCCACAACCCAACCGAGGGTAATTTAAAGGCAGAATTAGTGTGCCATAAAAATGAAACCAAACCAAACAAAAAGCATAAGAAAAGCCAAACTTAACCTACCCAGGGGAAGTGTGGGAAGGTTTCCAGAAGTAAATGACGTTTAAACGAGTATATGCAAGAGAACAACTTGGTAGGGGTGGGGAGGGGAGGAAGTTACACGGAAGTATTTCAAGTTGAAAGCTAGCGCACAGGCCTAGAGACAAGAGAAAAAACTGCGAGCAATCGGGACTAGACTTTAGGTCTCCTGCTTTCTCTCCGCCTCTTTCCGTAACAACTGGGAGCTTCATAGATTGCGCCCTGCATGGACTTGGAGGCTGTTCTCTTTAGATTTGGAAATTCCATCATTTCAGAAGAGTCCGTTAATATACTGAGGCTGAAGAAATCACGACTCATACGGCCCCGGGTTTCCGCCTACCTTGGGCACTTCCCCAGCTCTCACCGGCACCACACCTGCATCCTTCAAGTCAGCCCCAGCCTCACGCCCGAGCGCCGCCATTTTGGCGGATCACATGACTAGCGGTGGGCGGGGACCCAGAACGCCAGAAGCCCGGGAAGTGGTGCTGGCTCACGCCTCTAGCCTGCAGCCCCGGCCCTCCCCGATCCAGTCAAAAGCCGCGCCCTCCATCCTGGCTGTGATTGGGCGTGGCGTCCAGAAATGAGGGCCGCTCATTGGCTTCGAGGAGGTCCAGACGCCCATGGGCCCGCCTTCTTGCCAGCCCTATATTCCTTTACCCAGTTATTTGTTAACCTAGCTCCCTCTTCTCTCCTGCTGAGAGGGTACGTGGGGCGGTCCGAGCGCAGGGATGTTGCTGCGCGCTTTCCTCTCTTCTGGGCACCTCCGTTAGCTGGGGCCGACCTGCCCGCCCCTTTCACTCTTTGAGGGAGTTCTCCCCTCTGGCCTGGTTCGTGTGTTAAGGCTTCGGCTTCCCCGGCACCTCCTCCCCAGAGCCCCCAACCGGCCGCCAGAGCAGCCCCGACTAGCCTTCTCCCCGCTCAGCGGTCTGACTCCTCTCCCAGTCTTTAGTCCCCTCATATTCCATCCTTTCACCCCGCTTGGAAAGGCACCAGAGAGAAAAATTACCCCACTTCCCAAGAAGACCCCTTTGCCAGCCGATATTTCGGGGTGGGGGGCGCTGCAAGGAGGCCTGGCGCCCTTTTGTGCACGTTCAGTGCCCAGGAGTATCTCCCAGACCAGCAACCCCGACCCTCCAGTCTCCATGTCTTAGAGAAGCCAAATTCGAGAGTTATATAATTTCTAGTGCTGCTGTTTCTCCTGCCTGAGGAAACACTTCATCGCGTGGAGGGTGCAGGACATTTCTGTGCACTTCTATATAGGAACGGGGTGTGGGTAGGGGTGGCCAGCGGTAGCAGAGAGATTTCTTGTCATTTCTGCAAAAGGAAGGTGGGTAGTTTAGAGAGAGATTCAAAGGGTGGATGTGGAAGCCAAGCAGCAGAACTCTAATTTAGGAAATCGCGGACCGTTTGCACAGCTTGTGCTCACATGCCTAATACTACTACATCGTCTCAGAAAACACCTTTGGGGGAAGGTTTGACTTCTCTCGAACAGTCTCAGTGTTTTTCCTCGCCGGATAGGGAGCTGCTTGGATGCGAAGAGATGGCATGATGTGAATGACTCCAGTGTGAAGAAATCTGCTTCGCCAACTCATCCTGCATCAAGTGCCCATTGAGTAGCACTGTCACTTTAATGTCTCCATGCCAAGGGATTGCTTTCCTTCTTTTCAATCCTCTCGGTTAATACATGGGAGGATCAGAATCAGAGGGGCATTAAGGATTAAGCCCGAGGGGCTTGGAGAGCACAGAAGAAAAAAATGAAAGTGACAGCAAGCTGGATCCTGTCTGACTGAGGGGGTGAGATCTGGAACTTCTGGTCCAGTAAATAAAAAGGGGCCTTTCAGTCAGTCTGTTCTGCCCCAGAAAACTGTTTAAACTCACCCATCTTTTTAGAGACCAGAGTCAAAAAGGTTTTTAAAAGTATTTTTTGTTGGGGAGGGGATTAAATTTTTCTCTGAAGAATTGAGGAGGATCTTTATCATCAACCAGTTCATCTTTGAATTTGATCATGTACTGAGTAATGAGACAGCTGTGTAAATTTGGTTTGTGCCTTAATTGAGTTAGTCATTGAACTCCAAAAATGTTGATGTCTGAAGAGGAGTTTTAATAACATTTTCTATGCTTACAATAATTTTCTCAGTTTTTTTTAACAGAATAAATATTTTATAAAAATTGAAAAACTCAAGGTTATTTTTTTCTGAACTCTGTGGGCAGTGTCAAAAGTTTAATTGTGGAAAAAAATACATCATTTTTTTCTCTATCTGGAAGAGAAGACAGCCTGGATTTCAAAATTGAACAGTGAAGTGGTTTGCAACAGTTACCTGGCTCTTGGCCTCAGTCCAGCTGGATCAAGTTGAAACCTGAAAAGAGATCTTGGATCCTGTGGCAGTGGAAAGACCCAAGAATGCCAGTCAAGAAGAAAGGTGGGCTATGAGGCTTCCTATATAATATATGTTTGTCCCTTTTCTTGATTCTGGTATTTGCTGTTTAAATTGTATTCCATTTGAGAGTAAAATTTTGCTTGGGTTTTGGAAAATATTTATTGTAATACTGTCTTTTCTGTGGTACTCATTCAGTAATATTTTGCTAGAGTATAATGAAGTAAGACTATAGTATTTAATTATAGACATTTGTGATTTCATAACTCAGGTTGTCTAAATTACTGTTTATAATCAGCATAGGTTTGATACCACAGATTGGATCTTTTCTTTAGCTTGTTTTCTTAGCTTGTCAAAGATTACTTTTGAGCTCTTCCTCATGGACTTAATATTATTTATTTATTTAAAGGTTTTATTTATTTATTTGAGATAGAGAGTGAGAAGAGAGCATGAGCTGGGGCAGAGGCAGAGGGAGAAGCAGACTCCCCGCTGAGCAAGGAGCCCAACATGGGGCTTGATCCCAGGATCTTGGGATCATGAACTGAGCTGAAGCCACCCAGGCACCCCGGACTTAATATTTATCAAGTGAATTACATAGTTGTAAAAGATAACAAAGTTGTACTGAACATAATTATAGATTTATTAATCTTTTGATTAAAGATAAATTTCATATTTGGGTTTACTCTAGGGTAGATATTCACTTTTGTGATAAAGCACAACTTTGGTAACTGCTGTGCTTTTCTAGATGTATGTATCATCTAATAACACGATTGGCAAGTTTCCCAAATGAGGTAAACCCCTAATTCCCTCCTCCCTCCCCAGAATGGATCAAGATCCAGTGGCTTTCTAAAGCATAGTTTATTATAGGTTGGGCCACGGAATTCACTTTAACCCAGATCTACCCCAGGTTAACTTTGTTCTTAAAGATCCTAATGAAACCAATTTTTTTTTTTTTTGACATGGTGTGGAAGATCAGATCAACTATAAAGAATTTTCTCAAGAGTTTTGAACAAAAATTTATTCAAACACCCTTGCACTCCATATACGGGACTAGCAGAGATCCAAGTGCTGACCAGTTATGTGAGTTGATACAAACTGAAACTAAAGTTCAGGGTGAAGGTTTAAGGGCAACCTGGCTCTGCATGATGTTTAATCCTTCTACCTGTGGATTTGGAAGGTGCATTGAGGAAACTTATAATCAGTGAGATGCTTTATCCACCTGGTATCTGTAGAGATGGACAGTGATATATAAAACCTCTGAGATACCTACAAACATTCCTTTGTGCGTTGGATTTGAGACTGGGATTGTTTCCTTCTCTTGCTCTCTCCTGTAATATCACTGAGATAAATAAACTCTCTATGAGATTTTGAAGCCATACCTGTCTAGACCTGACACAATTGGTTTATCTGGAACAAGAATGGTTTTGGTAATGTAGCCAATAAATGACATGGCTCTTTGACTTACTTACCATGTGTTTTTATTTTTATTTTTTAATTTTTTTAAAGATTTTTATTTATTTGTTGACAGAGAGAGAGACAGCGAGAGAGGGAACACAAGCAGGGGGAGTGGGAGAGGGAGAAGCAGGCTACCCTGCTGAGCAAGGAGCCTGATGTGGGGCTAGATCCCAGGACCCTGGGATCATGACTTGAGCCGAAGGCAGACGCTAAATGACTGAGCTACCCAGGTGCCCACCATGTGTTTTTATTCTCTCTACCCCTTATTGTTCTCTGGGCATTGTCCCTTCTGTACTGCCTTATTTTAGATTAATAATTGAATTTAAACACATTGTGTAAGTGTGTATGTAGCAGAGAGAGGAGATGAGGAGGAGAGAGAAAGGAGAGAGGCGGGGGAGAGAATTGGATAAAAAGTTATCTGGGAAGGAGGTGGAAGATGAGCAGTTGATGTTCTAGGTATAACTTAACTAAGCAGGTGTCTTTTTTTTAAAAGGAGTTCTTTAAAAAATATTATTGAAGTATAGTTGATACACGATGTTACATTAGTTTCAGGTGTACAACATAGTGATTTGACAAGTCTATACATTATGCCATGTTCACAAGTGTGGCTACCATCTGTCACCATACAAAGCTACTATAATACCATTGACTGTGTTCCCTGTGCTGTACCTTTTATCCTCGTGACTCATTCATTCCATAACTGGAAGCCTGTACCTCCTACTCCCCTTCACTCATTTTGCCCATAGCCCCTACCCCCCACCTATCTGGCAACCATCAATTTGTTCTCTGTATTTATGGGTCTGTTTCTGTTTTTTGTTTATTCAATTGTTTTGTTTTTTAGATTCCACATATGAGTGAAATCATATGGTATTTGTCTTTTTCTCTGACTTATTCACTTAGCATAGTACTCTCTAAATCCATCCATGTTGTCACAGACGACAAGATTTCATTCTTTTTATGGCTGCATACTATTCTAGTGTGTGAGTGTGTGTGTGTATGTATGTATGTGTGTGTGTGTGTCTGTGTATATACTATATCTTCTCCATCCATTCATGTACTGATGAATGCTTGGGTTGCTTCCATATCTTGGGTATTGTAAATAATGCTGCAATAAACATAGGGGTGCATATATCTTTTTGAATTAGTGTTTTTGTTTTCTTTGCGTACATACCCAGTAGTGGAATTCCTGGATCATATAGTATTTCTATTTTTAATATTTTGAGGAACCTCCATACTGTTTTCCATAGTAACTGCACCAGTTTGCATTCCCACCAATGGTATGCAGGTTGATCTTAAGGTTTCTAAACCCAATAGGCTGAGTTTCTTAAAAAGTTCCTACCTTGAAGGAAGTTATACAAATTGCAGTGACATGATTGAAAATTATGCATTATGAGAAATAATTTAATGTTTATTTCCTTCCTTATTTCTTCCTTCTTTCCTCCGTCTTTTTTCTTCCCTCTCTCTCCCTCCATTTCTTCCTTCCTTCTTTAATAATGGATTGATGGCAATGGGTCATCTTTTTTAAGGAATCAACAAGTTCTGATTAGCAAGGCAAGTATATATTTGGGTTATGCTAAAATCTATGCATTATGTAATTTGTGAACTGATCTACTTAGAAAAACAATTTATGTTGTTTTTTAATCTTTTAAAACTACTTAGTGTCAAGATACATGTTTTTGAATCTTACAGTAAACTAGCCAAATAAGTTATGACATATGCGTTATATTTTTAATTGACTAAGCTTACTATTTGTATTACTTCTAAAATATGAGTGAAACAAATATTTTAAAGTATAACCTAGATTTATTCTGCAGAGAGTAGTGTCTTTTGTCATCTTGACTCATTTTTCTTTCTTCATTGCTACATGTGGTAGATACGATGAAATAACTAAATTAAATGTAATTTTAACAGTAACTATCCTTTTGAACCAAGTGTTTATTCATTGCTGAATATATTCTTATTGAAACAAGAAATTTTCATGAGATTTTCATTTGGTATTTATTTTATATGTTATTGTAAAAGTAGAGCGGAGATTGGTGTAGTTAGCAACATATAACCGTGGTGGGAAGTGGGAATGGGTGTGACATCTAAGTCCATTTTTAGATTCTGTTCTTGAACTAGGTCTTAAATAAGCTGAAACCCTCATATTCACTGCTTTTTTTGCTTTAAGACATTATTTCCTATCTCTCCCACCCCACTCTCCATGTTTTTATAGATTTCAGTTTTTTCAAGATTCTTCATTAGAAATTTTTTTCCCCAACAGTTGCTTTTCATTCAGGATTCTCTTATCTATTGTAGTAACTTGATTTGCTCCCACCTGAACCTTTAGGACATCTTTGACCTATTTGTGAGAATTCAGGGCCAATCCAAGATAAATTGTATTAGCATTCTCTCATGTGATACAGGATCATGGTGCATTGGATGGGGCTATTTCAACAAGACTTGTTGAATTGCTCTAATCTGATTTCATGTTAGATTAATGTAAGAAATAAAAGTTAATGATAGTTGTGTCCTTCTCTATGTTTTCAGTGGGATGTTGGTATTTTAATGATAAAATACACTTCAACAGAATTTTTTAGTACATTGCAGTTTTTTTCTCTGTAATATTAAATATGTGTAAGAAATCATTGCTTTTAATACATTGAGGTTGATGTTCATTTCATTTCTGTGTTTAAAAACCTGTCTTTTTTGGGGGGCCTGGGTGGCTCAGTTATTAAGCGTCTGCTGTCAGCCCAGGTCATGGTCCCAGGGTCCTGGGATCAAGTCCCACATCGGGCTCCCTGCCCAGCAGGGAAGCCTGCTTCTCCCTCTCCCACTCCTCCTGCTTGTGTTCCCTCTCTTGCTGTGTCTCTCTCTGTCAAAAAAAAAAAAAAAAAAAAAACTTAAAAAAAAAATCCCGTCTTTTTAATTGTCCTCCTAGCTTCTTTTAAATTCATATACAAGTCTATCTGACATTTTTCATTTATATAACACTTTATTTCCTTTAAATTCTTTTTTTACAGCTGTTCTCAGTGATGTAATAATGTATAAACTTATTTTTACCAAGTACTGAAAGTTAAATACTATCATTTTCATAATTCATATGTTTTGTCATTTTTCTTTTTAAAGGAAGCCAAAGAGTGTTGTGTAATTAGCATTCTAAGACTTGATATTGCCATGTATCTCATGGACATCCTTGAAATTGAGATTATTGTTTCCTGGGTTCACAGTCTTTCCTTTTGGTTGACCATACTTTTTAAAAATGACACTTTTGCTTTTCTTCTTTTCTTCCTCTTAAAACTCTTTTGTTCATTCCTTCCTTATTTGAAGTTTTCTTTTTCATTTTCTGTTTCTTGTACTATGTGGCTTAATTTCTTTTTTATAGTATCTTAGTAATTTATATTTGCCTTTCATTATCTGGATATGTTCTCTTTACAGCTCTAGCTGTTCTTAAATTTCTAGAATAATTTTTTTTCAGTTTCTTTGATTTTTTTTTTTTAAAGATTTTATTTATTTATTTGACAGAGAGAGACACAGCGAGAGAGGGAACACAAGCAGGGGGAGTGGGAGAGGGAGAAGCAGACTTCCCGTGGAGCAGGGAGCCCGACATG